GTGGGGGTGGGGTTAGTGGGGGTGGGGGTGGGGGTGGTAGTGGGGGTGGGGGTGGTAGTGGGGGTGGGTGGTCGAGGGAAGGGGGGCTGCCATTGGGCTGGGACCAGGTATCCGTACCTGCAGTTGTGTCCGTACCAGTGTCCGTACTCGTACCTACATCTCAACTTGGCGAGACCATCATTTTCCTGACATCATATATAAATATCATGCTACGTGTTTTGAATTGCTCATTGGTGCACTATTAAGGAATCGCTGCGTATCAGTCTGTCCGACTGCATGTACGTATGTGTGCATGCATGCAGGCCAACTCCAATCCCCCCAGCAGTCAGCACTCAAGCCAGGGGGGATCCCTCCGTAACAGAGTGCTGGGGAGCGGCGGCTTCGGGGTGGTGTACAAAGGTACGGCAAACATGTACGGCGCTACCTGACAAGAACATCAGCAACGACAAAAACAATGTTCAATAATGTGTAATATGTCATTAATGACCTATCGCACTGGCTGTGCGCCAGCCGGGCGCCCCATCGGTGTCGTACGTCCCATCGGTGTCTTCCCCCTTCCCCCTCCTGCCGTACACCCCTCCCCCCTCCTCTCCCCCCTCCCCCCTCCTATCCCCCTCCCCCCTCCTGCCGTATACCCCTCCTCCCGTACACCCCTCCCCCCTCCTCTCCCCCCTCCCCTCTCCTGCCCCATACCCTCCCCCCAGGCGAGTGGCGAGGTCTCCCGGTCGCCATCAAGGTGGTACTGCTCTACTGGTATCTGTGGCTTCGTAGTGTTGTCATTGACTCGCAACTTCATGATGTGAGTAATGTGCTACTGTTCCATTTCTTCTGCTGTGCTACTGAATTGCGATTACTACTGCTGTGCTAGTGTTACACTGCTATACTGCTACTGCTATACTGCTACTGCAGGGTGCAGCCTGTCGCTGTAGCGTGTCCGGGTGGAGGCAGCTGCGGCTCCCCCGGGGTGATGGGCCCGGGGATTCGACCCAGGATTACGAACAGGTACGACAGGAGGGGGAAATTGAGGCTTGGGGTTTGGGGTCGCTTTAACAGATATCATTTGTGGGTCGCTTTAAGGTTTTAGGGTTTTAATTTTGCATCCGGGCTCCGGAACCTCACACCCGGTTTTAACTTTGCTATTGTGTTTTTGCATTTGGAAGGGCGGGAAGGCTTTGGATGGGACGTCTGTCGGTGGTGACGGGCCCCGGTGTTCACTTTTGGGGGCTTTTTGAGATTGGGGGCTTTGGGGTTTTGGTTAGAGGGGTTGGGAGGGCGCAATGAGGGGGTGGGGTTGGGGCGGGGGCTCGCAAGTGCAGGGCAGCCCTCGCCAGCTGTCTGAACATGCGCCGATGTGATGTGTGTTTTTCTGTGAGATGTACGGCACTCCTCCTTTTTATGAAAGCGCGAATCGACTACGAATCAACTCCCCTTGCCTCCGCCTCCTCCTCCTCGTCCTCCGCCTCCTCCCCGCTTCTCGACTATGCATAGAATCCCCTCCTTCCCTATGCTGAACCTGATTCGAAAAACTGACTTGGTTTGACTGATTCCGCGCAAATTTCCTCCCCTCCTCCTCCTCCTCCTCGCAAGCAACCGCATAGCAAATCACAGGCCGTCACCCGCCGCTGCAAACCACAGCACACTAGGACTCTTCTGCACTTCAGACGTCACGTGCTTGTCGAGGGTACTAAGTTCTGCACACTACGGAGCAATCTGGCAGCGATGGACGTTTTTGGCTGGAAGAATGAAAATGTACGGATCGGCCTCAATTCATTCCGTTTTTCCAAAGGCCAAAATGGCCTGTTTCTTCCTTTTAAGGAATATATTACTTCAAAAAAACACTGCTCTCCCTACTCTCTCCCCCTCTCTCCCTCGTGCTACCCCTGTAGCCCAAGTAGATTCTCGGGAGTGTAGGATTGTACTTTCATTAAAGAACACAATCTAATAGAGAAGATATATCTAATAAGAAGATGTATCTAATAAGAAGTTGAAGCCTAGGCCTTGCGACCGGGAAACGATCTCCGTATCTTATGTTGACATTGCGTGAAATTCTTCCACTTTTGATATTCGTCCGTATCTCTAACAGGCCATCACGGCTATGTCGAATACCGTAGTGCTACTTATAGTTCGTGATCGCTTTGTTCGGGGAGGGGTCAAAAAACTTTCCGAAATTTGTACCTGCTCATTGAATTTCGGGGAAGGCCGGACCAGATTTTGCGGGCATGATACAAATTTCGGGGCCCCTTCCAAAGTTTCGGGGCTTTTCAAACTGCAGCTTCCAGTCAGTCTCCCTCCACCGGGAACCCCTAGGCTCATGGTCTCTAACCATTTTCGCACTTTGGAAACGCCCTAGCAAATTCTGGACCGATCGTACAGTTCAGTACCAGTGGCAACGACCTTATAACCAACCGGTCGGGCCAATACAGTGTTTGGGTGGTTGCTACTGAAACGTGTCTTCATGTGGCTGAAACCCCGACGTAAAAGGCATTACAACGCAGCTGGATGCACCGTAGCATTGACCGCATTGCGCTTGCGCCTAGCAACCTCCTCGTGCTCCATTCGCTCACGCTGGGCCTCGACAACAGCATCATCAAGCCTAACTGGTGCAAATCCAACTCGGTCGCTCACCGGAGCGTTTGGTGCTAGCGGTTTCATCCCGCATTGAAGCAGGGTTGCCTGTCTTGCACGTTTTCCAGCGTTGCTCATGTCCTACGTTTATGAATATATTTTGTATTTAAGAGCTGATTTCCGCCTTGAAATCCTAGATTTTGCGAAGTTTGATCGACCGGCTTCGGAGGGTACGATATTTCGGGGCTGCGGTCCCTTGGGATACCTTAGAATTTGTACGTGCTACATATTCGTGGTGCCTCCCGAATTCTTGTAGCACGAACTATAAGTAGCACTACGGTATGCATCATAAGGATACACATCTGGGAACGTTTCCCTCCTGTATGTGTGTGGTTGTTACAGTGGGCTCCAGACTCTCGAAGAGTAGAGCCATCGGGCCATCTGGCCGTGCACTGCAGTAGAGACTAATATACCAAAAGATTATCACCTCAGATAATTAACCTCTCATCGGTAACCGCTCTCGCGAGCACATCAATTTGCCAGATATAATTCTCAAGAAGGGGTGATGTACGCCAACGGAATCCCAACCTTTCCGTGGAATTCCCAAAGCTGCGAAACCCTGAATGCGGCCCCAAAAGTCAACAATAACTCGACAAATTGCTTCTTCCGTAAGGGAAGGGCCAGGTAACAGTGCCGGGTTGGTTTTGATGTTTGCAGCCATATAACGTCTCCCATGCTCCATGGCTGACACCGCAGCAAGAGCCACAACATCCCAAACACATTGTTGCACTGATTGTGGGGCTTGGATAAGCCAAAGTTGCTTCCTTGAGACTGGCATTCCTATTGAAAGAGTAAGTTGATCTGCTACTGCCTGTGCCACCGGACCAGAGGGATGCAAAGATTAGGGATTGGGTTCGGGTACCGGTCAGGCAGGAATTAGGATTCGGAAAGAGGGGCAGGATTAGGATACAAAGTTGAGGCCAGGTTTAGGATGAGGACCCGAGTGTAGGATTAGGATTGGGACCCGGCCCCAGGATTAGGATTGCGACCCGGCCCCAGGATTAGGATTGGGACCCGGCCCCAGGATTAGGATAAATACCTATATCCAGGATTACGATTAGTACACTGGTATTGGATTAAGATTAGGGCACCGCAATGATTGGCAATTAGTATACTGCTATGTAGGAGGACTATCAAATCCAGCTACCGTTCAGACTGGGTTAGAAAGTTGCTATGCCATGTCATACTAAGTGATGTCGCGTGTGATGTGTGCGCTCATGCTCCTGATCACGGAAGCCATACGCTCCAGGAGCTCCAGCCATGCTTCTGACAGGCGTCTGCTGATCAGTAAAATTGCGATAAAACAATCTGCAAAAATTGACGAGGACGGTCTAGACACGAAGACGTATGGATGGCGTCCGCGCCTCCTCCGGAACCAGCTGCACGACATTGAGGGACGCTTCCAAAGGCAGTCGCGTGGTATGCGTCCTTATAAAATATTAGTAGGTTAAATGTCGGAAACTTTATGAATAATTTTTCTACTATGCGCACGTGCTAACATTACTGGCTCAACATCATAGGTCGACATCGTGTTACGAGACATGTCCTGCTTATTGGGTTGTACTTCATAGCTGCGAAAGCCCCTGGTATTTATGGCATTGAAGGTCTCTGCTTCGCTGCCAGTGTGGGTGGTGTTCCATTGGATCACCTCTCTCAGCTACTCCTTCCAAGGACGTGTTTGCTCTGCCTGCTTGTTGTTAATTCTCGGGCTTCGGGCTTTGTATGAATGAGCTTATTGTTATGCGCACATGTTAACATCTTTTGGCTCAATATCATACGTAGACATCGTTTCGCGAGGGATGTCCTGCTTATTGGGTTGCGCTTCATAGCTGTGAAAGCCCCTGGTATTTATGGCATGGAAGATCTCTGGCGCGCTGCAAGTGTGGATGGTGATCCATTGGATCACCTCTCTCAACGTGCATTTTATCTTCGACCGCCCCACAGTCGCATCTGCAGATGCTTGAATCAAGGTGTTTAGACGCAGTATCCCTGCTTAAACTCTTCGTATGGCACAATACTGCAGAAATGGCCAGGATGCGCAGCTTCGTCAGCCTGCTTTTTATGTTTCAAGTTTTACTTCGGTTGATCATATACCCGCTGTAAAACTGCATTGGTTTTTTTACGCACTTGCATTGCCATCGCCTCGCGCCTGTATGGCACTGTGTGTTTCCGTGTCACGGCACCCTTCTATTAGGATTGGGCCCCCCAGCCAAAATTAAGGTTTTACCGAATCAGTCACACGATAACAGCTCCACGATAAGGATTACGACACGACCAAGAGGATTAGGATTGGGACCCCAGCCTCAGAGTTAGGATTGCGGTCCGGCCACAGGATTAGGATTGGGACCCCCCCCAGGATTGGGATTGGGACCCGGCCACAGGATTAGGATTAGAACCCCGACCCTAGGATATGGATTAGACCACCACTCTGGATTAGAGGATCACCCACC